AGGATGAGGGGCTGGCACTGGCTGGGGTGGCCTAAAGCCCACCTGGTCCTGCCTAGCTTCGTGCTGAACCTGGGCAAAGACAGCAACAACCTGTGCCTGCACTTCAACCCTCGCTTCGACGCCCACGGGGACGCCAACACCATCGTGTGCAACAGCAAGGACGGCGGGGCCTGGGGGACCGAGCAGCGGGAGGCTGCCTTTCCCTTCCAGCCTGGAAGTGTCGTGGAGGTAGGCGAGGGACTAGGAGCCAGGGCGGGGCACTGGGTGGGGTGGGGCTGGGCTGTGTTCGGTGGCTAGAGACCTGGGCCCTCCCTGCCCTCCCCTCTGTGGCTGCGTGATGGCCAGGGAGAGTCATCTCAGCTCTGAGCCTCAGTGGCCTCACCCAGGAGCTGGGGCTGTGTCAGGGCCACCTGGGGAAAGGGCTCCAGGAGGGCCTGTGGGACCAGCTCGCTGCCCTTGTCCACCCCAGGTGTGCATCACCTTCGACCAGGCAGACCTGACCATCACGCTGCCGGATGGTTACGCATTCAAGTTCCCCAACCGCCTCAACCTGGAGGCCATCAGCTACATGGCAGCGGACGGTGACTTCAAGATCAAGTGTGTGGCCTTTGAGTGAAGCCAGGTGGCCCACGGCCCCCAATAAAGGCAGCTGCCTCTGCTCCCCCCGAACCAGCCTCCTGTGTGTGTGTGTGGAATAGGGGCCCCAGGCCCAGCCCAGCCCCTTCCTTTACTTCAGATCACTTCCTCCATGTGTGCCTCCTAAGTTCCAGTGATGTCTTCTTCCCCTGGGTCCCCCAGGCCAAGCAGCGAGCTCAGCACACAGCAGGGGGCTCAGTGACCACTGAATAGAAACCAGTGCCTGCCCTGAAACTGCTTAGGCCAGTGGGCCCCAGCACACAGTAAGTGCTCAAACGATGTTGCATAAGTGAAACCAAGGGGAAAAGAGGCAAGGGCAGAACGATTCTTGCCATGGCAGAAAAGTGGAAGCAGAGGGAAGAAGCCTCTCTTACTTACCTTTGTGAGCTAGAAAGAAAGATTTGCAGTCAGACAAGGGCTGCCAGCTGTGTGGCCTTGTGCGTGTGAACTGACCTCTCTGAGCCTCAGTTTATTCATTAATATGGGGGATAATAGCACGTAGCCTATCGTAGGGTTGTGTGAAGATTAAATGAGATGTTGCATAAAGGAGCCCAAGTTCAGTGCCTGGCACATGGTAAATGCTTAGTGGATAGGACAGTCCCTCCTACACTACTTTTTTTTGGAGTTCAGTGGCTATTCATAGGCACAGTCATCATAGCCTAGTATAACCCTGAACTCCTGGGTTCAAGTGATCCTCCTGCCTCAGTCTCCTGAGTAGCTGGGATTACAGGCATGCACTACCACGCCCGGCTCCCTCCACTACCTTTTGAGAAGTTATTACTTGAATTTGAAGGGAAGGAGATGGGCTGTGAGTGATAAAATGACTCGGGTCTGACCAGGTCCAGCTGAGCCTGCCTGGCTCCGAGGCATCCTGGCTTTGTAGCCCCAGGCCACATGCCCTCTTTGCTGGAGAGTAAGGCTAGTCAGGAAGCTGCTGGCTCTGTGGCCCTGGGCAGGTCCCCCTATCCTGACAATGGGAATATGGGCTTGGGTGATGGCCCTGGAACGCCCTGCCAGCCCCTGTTTCTGTGGTAGGAGCTGGGGTTGGGGTCTATGTCGCACTTGCAGAGAACCACGTGGTAGAGGCTGGCATAAGGCCCAGCCTCCAGGGTCCCAAAGGCCTCCCGCTGCACACAGCCTCTTCCTTGGGGTGCGCAGTGTGGGTAACTCACATGGCCTGGAATGAAGTCTTGAGCCCGTCCCTTTCTGGTTTCCAAAGAGGATATATTTTCCAAGACCCGCCCAGGCCCTTTTACCTTGGTGGACAAGCTTCACCCAGACCCATCAAACGGGCCCATCTCCAGTGACAGGACATGAGCAGATGGCTGGGGCAGACGGACCGCTGCCCTGCACCTTCCCACTTGCTGCTGTGGTCAGACCTTGCCAGGGCCCTACCTCCCTGGGAAACAGCTGCAGGAACTAGGCCAAAGTTCTGGAAGGCCTAGAATCAGAACCACTGGGCTCCCCCACACCCCAGGCATGGTCTCCTGAGGCCGACTGGGTGGGGCTCAGCCAACCTCACTCTCTAGGACGGCTGGCACCAGCTACGGGTCTGTCTCTTACCCCTCCAGCCTCAGTGTCCTCATCCATTCTGGTTTCCATCTCAATGGGCCCCCTAGGATCCGGGGTTGGGGGAAACCACCTCTAAGAGTGGGCCAAAGAGGATGGAGCACACCCTAGGGACCCCTATGAGGCACACCCGATCTCCAGGCTCTCCTGGGGCTCCCAAGTGGCCACCCAGAGAGAAATAGCTTTGGAAGCCTGGCCGTGTGGGTGGGGCGCCCTCTGCTGGACACCAGAGGAAGTGTCCCCAGGCTGCCTTTCCCGGTGTTCAAGTTCAGCCACACTCACTGTCCCTGCGCTGGCTGAGCACCCACAATACACCAGGCCTGAGACCACGTGGGGCAGAGGAAAGCCCTAGAGCAGATAAGGAGAGAGGCACTGGGTTTGGAGGAAGGAAACTGGGCTCCGACTCAGGCCTGTGTTTAAGGCCCAGCTCCATCGCTGTGTGCCCTTGGACCAGTTATTCCATGTCTCTGAACCTCAGTGTCCTCATCTGCCAAACAGAGTTAATACTGCACTAGTACCTACTCTGTGGGGTTGTGAGGATTAGCTGAGGTAACGTATGGAAACACATGGTGCCTGGCACATGGAATGGGCTCTGTGAATGCTGGTTCCCTTCACCCCTTTTAAGACGTGGTATGAGCTGAGCATGATGGCTCACGCCTGTAATCCTAGCACTCTGGGAGGTCGAGGCAGGTGGATTGCTCGAGGTCAGGAGTTCGAAACCAGCCTGAGCAAGAGGGAGACCACCGTCTCTACTATAAACAGAAAGAAATTAATTGGCCAACTAAAATTATATATAGAAAAATTAGCTGGGCATGGTGGCGCATGCCTGTAGTCCCAGCTACTCGGGAGGCTGAGGCAGGAGGATTGCTGAGCCCAGGAGTTTGAGGTTGCTGTGAACTAGGCTAACACCATGGCACTCTGGGGAACAGAGTAAGACTCTGTCTCAAAAAAAAAAAAGATATCATCATGGAAAGAACTAAATAAATGGCAGCTGCTACTGTTACTCTCTTTTTTGTTCATTATCATCATCATCTATTAGGGGAATGTGCCATCTCTTGCTGTGCCTGGCACATAAAATTAATTTCAAGGAGAAACCAAGACCAAAGTGGTGGTGGGTGTTTTTGACCATGAGTTGAAGAGCTATGGAGCTTTTGAAGTCTGAAGGATCCCCTGCCTTGGGGTGTGGTTGCTAGTCCCCTTTCCTGGGGCAAAGGAACCTGAAACTCTCTGGGAAGAGTTGGAGCAACAGCGCCTACCTGGGGCGGCGGCAGACAAGGCCGCCCTAAACCTTGCTGGGCGGGCAGCTCAGGCTGGATTGAGCTGAAAGGGCCAAGCTCACAGAGTTTCCCTCGTGCAGTCCTGTGCAAGCAGCTGCCTCCTTACTGGTTCCCATCTCTGTACCAGACTGGAAGCTCTGGAACCATGCTGTGTACAGGGCAGCAGTTAGGGGAGTGGCTCTGGGTGACTTCGGTCAAGTAAGTCACTTCTCTCTGAGCCTCCATTTCCTCATCTGCAAAACAGGGATGAAAGCAGCTCCAACCTCACAGGGAGGTGGTGAGGATTAGCTGAGATAATCCACACGAGGCTCTGAGAACATTGCTCAGCACAGGAGTCTGAGTGAGTGAACCGTGAGGAGGGAGGGGCCCACAAAGGGGCAGGTGAGAGAGCAGGCTTGTGACTTGCCATGTTCGGTGGCAGGCGGCCCAGCTGTAGAAGGTGGCTCTCTGGCATCCTCTGGGGTCACCCTCTCTGAGAAGCACTCCCTGGTCCTCTACTCTGGAGGAGCCCACCCAGAGCTCTGCAGACTCCTGAGCTCCTGGCTGCAGAGGCATCTTCCCTGGGCTGTCATGGCCGCTGACCCTGCTGGACTGGCCATTCCTGAAAGTCAAGGGCAGCAGCTGTGTCTGCAGCTCACAGCACAGGGTCTGACAGCACAAACGACTGCAGGGTTCAGAATGGGGCGTCCAGGCATATAATCCGAGTTACTGAAAATCCCCGTCAGGTGTGGTTTTACTTCATGCCTTCACATCCATGCCCTCATTGTCAGTAGAGGACATGTTAGTACACTGCCATGCCATACTAGGGGAAACTAAGGCACAGAGAGGGGCAGTGGCTTGTGTAGCGAACACGTGTACACATGGACTATGTTGCACACTTCACTCATTTATTCCTCACAATCATGATTGTCAAAGTTTGGTCCATGGACCAGCAGCATTAGCATCACCTGAGAATATGCCAGAAATGGAAATTCTGGGACCCACCCAGATCTACAGAATTAGAAACAGTGGGGTGGGTTAAACACTGATCTGGGTTAAAGCAAGCCCACCGGGGCTTCTGGTGTACAGCAAAGTTCAAGAACCACTGTCTGACAATAACCCTGCAAAGTCACTATACTTATCCCTATTTTACAAATAGGGTAATTGAGGCGCAGCCCAGGCAATTGGTCTAGGACCACACAGCTGCAGGCAGCTCGGCTCTCTCTTGGAGACCACCACCGAGTTGACATCAGAACCAAAAGTAGGATCAGTACAGCAATTTTTGGTCATTCACGAAAAACTCCATATTAAGAACCTACTTGTGTGCCAGAAACGGTCCTGGGCAATGGAGTCTGGGAACCTCGCTCTCACCGAAGCCACTCTGGGAGAATGGGTGGAGCTGGGAGTCGCAGGGACCTTGGGAGTCTAGGCCCTAGGGGGCGCGGACCAGCACATTGGGAGGGAGGAAACAGGCTGGGCGGCCCCTTTAAAAGGCGGGACCTGGTGGGCGGAACTGCGGTGCAAGGCCGAGAGGCTCGTCCGGGAGGACGAAAACGTCACACCCGGAAGTGTCTTAGGCGGGGGTAAGGCGCGCTGCCGGTGGCCTCACCGCCATGGGTCGCAACAAGAAGAAGAGAGCTGGTGACGACCGGCGGCCCCGGCTCGTTCTCAGCTTCGACGAAGAGAAGCGGAGGTGAGTGGCAAGGCCGAGCCGGGTTCCCCTTGGGCTGCTCGGGGGAGGCCAAGGCCCGGTCCGGGCTGAGCCCGCTCACGCTGAGGGCCCTTCCGGCCCCGCCCCCCTGGGCGTGGCTGGAGAACTCCCCGCCTTCCACTCCCTTCCCCTCCTGTTCTCCCGTTGGTCCCTTCTAGGCCTCCCTACGCCTCCCCCGGCTTCTGTGTGCGTGGCCAGAGACTCAGGAGCTCGGGTCTCAAAGCAATGGCTTCGACCACCCTAGGCTAGCCCAGTCCATTGGGCCGGCACACAGTAGGCTCTCAGCCATCGTTCACTGAATAAATGATGAGCAAATAAAATGTGTCTTAAATTCATTCATTCGCTCACCGGACTTTTAGTGGGCTCCTTGCAGTGTACCAGGCCTCGGGCCAGAAAGCTATACCTCTGAGCCTCAGCGTCCGGCCGGACAAATAAATGGCACATGGTAGCGGATCAGCGAAGAGACCAGTGCTGGGCTCTGGAACTGCTGCTAGGGAGATGAGAAGAGGCAGAGATCACACAGCGGGAGGGAGAGAAATGCTGGGCATCATCAGGAAACTCCCAGCATGCATCAGCAGGCCCTGCGGGTGGCCCTGGAAACTGGGTGTTGGTTCAGTGGAGGGTTTCCGGAGGTCTGGGTGAGGGTGGCCTTGAAGCTTAATTCACGGAGCAGTGGTATTTGTGGGTGTGGAAGGTGTCCCCTCCTGTTCTGAAGTGTCCACCACCTGGCCCTGTTGCTTGAATCTGAGAGCCCTGGAGAGTATTGAGTGGAAGGACATAGCATCTCTTACTTTCCTAAACTTACACTCTCTGTGACCATTGGCAAGTAACCTAGACTCTCTGTGCCTCAATGTCCCCATCTGTAAAATGGGGATTGATACCTACTACACAGGTTGTTGTGATGATTAAATTAGGATTCCATGTAAATTTTGGGAATGGTGCTTAGCACATAGTGAGTACAGCATCAGCTATTTTTCTTTCTAGAACAAGCCCTTCTCTTGACTCTCTCCTACCTCTTGCCGGTGTCCTTCCTTTAGGGAGTACCTGACAGGCTTCCACAAGCGGAAGGTGGAGCGGAGGAAGGCAGCCATTGAAGAGATTAAGCATCGGCTGAAAGAGGAGCAGAAGAAGCTCCGGGAGGAGGTGCAGAGGTGGAGGAGGGCAGAACTCCCAGGGGACTTGCAGCCTTGGATGGCTCTAATAGAGGCGGCTGTAGGGATGGGTTGTGGGGGTTGTGGGTAGGACTGGGAGCAGTTTCTACAGGTAGAGACTCTATGGGCTGGGCCTAGGGAGGGTGGAGGATGGCCATGGTCTTATTCACCCTAGAAGTGAGCAATATCCCTGCTTGAGGTTGGACAAGAGGCCATACTCACTGTGTCCCCTTCCCATTTGATTTCAGCGCCACCAGGAATACTTGAAGATGCTGGCAGAGAGAGAAGAGGCACTGGGTAAGTCCCGTCGTTGGCCTGACCTGGAGAACCAGCAAGAGGCCTGTGTGTTTGTCCCCTGGTAGGTGGGAGGGGAGGGATGTAGGGGCTGCATAAAAGCTGATCTTCTTAGCTCTAGGGGTCTTGATGGTGACCTGGGGCTGAGGGTGGTCTCCAAGCTCCTCTAAGTATGAGTGAATCAGAGACCCAGGAGAAGGAGACCCAAACCTCGTGGCAAACCTACCCTGAGTGGAGAGCCCAGTTTCTGAGGACTAGAGGCACTGAAGGTGGAGTGGAGGGGCAGCAACAGTTCCTGGTGTCACACAGGGTTTCTCCGAAGTGGGGACCAGTCTGGAGCAAGAAGGGAAGAGTGGATCATTGACAGTATTCGTCTGCAGGCTAGGCCCTGGAGCCAGTGGCCTCGGGATGCTCTCCCCTGGAGTAGAGGGGCCTTCCACTCCTGGGCTGGGAGGGAGGCTATAGCCTCACTGCTTGTTCCTGGTGCTGAGGCCTGGTCTGTGTCCATCTGTACAGAGGAAGCAGATGAGCTGGACCGGCTGGTGACGGCAAAGACGGAGTCAGTGCAGTACGACCACCCCAACCACACAGTCACCGTGACCACCATCAGTGACCTGGACCTCTCAGGTGCCCGGCTGCTGGGGCTGCCCCTGCCTGAGGTGGGTCACGGTCCCAGCTCTGGGGAAGAAGGGGCACAGGGGCAAACTGGTTTGTCAGGGGTTGCTAAATGCTGGCTCATGTCACAGGTATCCCAGTGGAAGGGACACTAAAGTCCCTGACTCCTAGGGGCTGCAGAGGCCAGCTCCACACTGAGCAGCTGAAGAAGCTTGGGCAGTTTCCCTGCCTTGCCTGCTTCCCTTTCTTCATTAGTGAATTGGGGATTGCTGTGAGGATAGAAGGAGTTAATCCATGTGAATCACTTGGCACAGTGCCCAGCCATGTTGTAAGTGCTTAACAAAAGATACCTGTTTATTGTGATCATTCTCCTGGTGTGGTAAGAAGCAATAACATGACCTGTCTATGTGCACTAGCAGTGAGTTTTCAACCTGTGGTTATGAGTCATCCGTAGGTTGCAGTCAGCATTAAAAAAAAGCTATATAGGCCGGGCTCGGTGGCTCATGCCTGTAATCCTAGCACTTGGGGATGCCAAGGTGGGAGGATCATGTGAGCCCAGGAGTTTGAGATTGCAGTGAGCTATAATGACGCCACTGCACTGTAGCCCAGGCAACAGAGAGAGACCCTGTCTCAAAAAAAAAGGCGGGGGGAATATGATTGAAAATATTAGTATCACAATAAGTGTTACTCCATTTTATACTCATTCTTCTGCAATGTCTGATACAAAGACAGGTCTCGTCCTCATCTTGCTGATATTTTCATTCATGTGTGTTTGAGTGTCTACTGTAAGCTACTACTAGGAGGCAGGAGAGGGTTTTTTGTATTTATTTCTTTTTTGAGAGAGGGTCTTACTCTGTCATTCAGCCTTGAACTCCTGGGCTGAAGTGATCCTCCTGCCTCAGCCTCCTAAAGTGCTGGGATTATAGGTGTGGGCCAACGTGCCTAGCCCATGAGAGAGTTGAAATGCGCCTCTCTCCTGTGTAGTCCTTGCCTTAGGGTGGACGTGGTGCTCCTCTGCCCAAGGCCTTCTCTGAGCCCTATCCCAGGCCTTTAATGTGGCAGGTTGACAGAGCCATGGTAGCTTAGGGTGCCCAGCCCAGGCCTCCCTATCTACTGCTCCGTGTAACAGTCCTTGTCCTGTGCTGCTTTAGCAAAGGGACGGGTCCGAGGAGGAGGCGTCATCCATGGAGAAGCCAACCAAAGCCTTACCCAGGAAGTCCAGAGATCCCCTGCTTTCTCAGCGGTGAGCCCTGGCCTGTCATCTTCTGTGGTCCTGCTCCTCATGGGGGTGGCATTGGGCAGGTGTGGAGCTCAGAGCAGCCATCTGCTTTGCCTGTTGGGTGGTCCTCAGCCTTTCCTCATTGCCCCTGTCTTCCTCCACCCCTTAGTGTCAAGGTCAGGGGCCTTTCTCTGAGCTGTGTTGCTGGCAGGCACTCTGGAGGCAGAGCAGACCAACTTTGGGGTGCCTTTGGTGCTCCGAGCATTTGGGGCCTGTCCTGACATCCCCTCTGTGAGCTGGGTGGTCAATTATGCCCCAACCCAGTCTTCCTCGCACCACCCTGTCCCCTTGCGTAAACTGACGCCTTCCGCCCTCTCACAGAATCTCCTCCCTCACGGCGTCGCTGCACGCGCACAGCCGCAAGAAGCTCAAGAGGAAGCGACCCCAACGGGCCCGGGACTCCACCAAGAAGCCTCCGAGCGCCACTCGGACAAGCAAGACCCAGCGCCGCCGACTAACAGGCAAAGCCCGGCACAGCGGGGAGTGAGACGGAGAGCCAAGGGGTGCCCCAGTCTTGGCTGCGGGGCTGTGTCCTGTCTCAGCTTGGCTGTCCCTGTAACTGGCCTGCACTGAAGTGATGAACTGAAGTGATGACTCAACCCAAGGTTGGGAAGCCAGGACCTATGGTGTGGGGTTTGAACCCCAGCAGGAGCAGGGGCTGAAAGCTGGCCTCCCCCGGTAGAAGACTTCAGGGCCAGGTTTGGGGCATCTTCCCAAATGTATATGCCACCCAGCACTCGTAAGATTTGTGAAACTCCTCAGATTTGTGCACTTGTGGTTTTTTTGTCCCTGGCCCTGCTGCCACTCAGTAAAGGCATGTTTCTTGGTGGTGGAAATGGTTGGGGGCCAGGGGTCTCTTGCAGTTTTCCTTGTAGGTCCACTAAGACGCAGTTCTCCCTGCATTAGATCTGGGTCCCCTAACCAGGGTTGAGTACCAGTGTGTCCACTGGTAGAATCCAGAGCCCACTGCTGCTCTGAAAAGTGGACACCTGGGGCAGGTGGGTGAACAGTGCCCAGCTCCGCCCTTACCTGGCTGAGCCTTTGGGCCTGTCACTTCTGGGCCTCAGCAGTCTCCTGGGCTGCAATAGAAGCAGCCGAGTCCTGGAGCATCCCCACCCCCGACTTGGCTAGCTTCCCAGGCTTCCAGCAGCTCCCGGGCAGAGCCCAACAAAGGATTAATTAATTCTCACTTCTTTTTTTTTTTTTTTTGAGACAGGGTCTCACTTTGCTGCCTGGGCTGGAGTGCAGTGGCGTCATTTCAGTTCACTGCAGCCTCAAACTCGTGGTCTGGAGCAATCTTCCTGCCTCAACCTCCTGAGTAGCTGGGATTACAGCCACCTGCCACCATGCCCAGCTAATTTTTCTATTTTTTTGTAGAGACAGGATCTTGCTATGTTGCTCAGGCTTAATTCTTACTTCTTAAACTGCATCTTGACTCGCATGAAAGTGAGTCATGTGGTGCCTTTAGAGTAGGCCATGCAGGAAGCCAGCTGGTATTCCACAAGGGCCGTCATTTTCTTCACACTCCTTCCAGATAGATCTTAGGCTGTGGCTTCAGAGCCGATGAAAACCATCATTGTTCCTTCCTTGTCCCGGCGTGAGTCCTAGGGCAGGGACACAGGAATTTCAGTTCGTGCCCTAGTTAGAGGAGCCGTGTTGGGCCTTGAACACTAGGACCAGGAAGGAAGGGGAGCAAACTGTGTTCTCAGCCCCAGTGAAGCTCACAGACTAGCAAGTGACAGGATGACAGGACAGTGCATGTGATGGGGGGCCACCTGGGACTCGGCTGCAGGCTCTCCCCACCCTGGCATGTGGGACGGCTCCAGGCAGGGCGGGGAGTGAGTGGTGAGCCAGGGTCTGCAGGGCAGGCCTCCCCTTCTCCCTCTGGAAGGCCTGCCAGGAGCAGCCACACCTCGCCATAGGGCAGGCCCTTTCCCATGTTGCTGTCAAAACCCATGTCTGACAAGGGCTGCTGCATTTCTGAAGGCCACACCTGAGCGTGGGAACACACAGCTGCGGGCTTATTGCTGGGAGGCCCCTTGCCCTTGACCTGGTCCTCAGTTCCTTTTGTCTCCCTGCTGCTTTCCTGTTGTCCCCCCCCCCCCCCCCCCCCCCCGTGCTTGGGGTGGGGTAGGTGGGGTAGCTCATCCTGTTTGGCTGCCTCCATTCCCAGGCAGAGAGTGGTGCCTTCCAGGCCTTCCAGGTGGTTCTGGTGCTCACCCCACCATGAGCCCTGGAAACTCTAGTGCACACAGCAGGGTTGGGTTTGAATCCAGACTCCGCTGCCTGGTTACTGTATGAGCTTCTTGCTGTGCCAAACTCTCTGGGTCTGTTTGCTTATGTGTAAGATGACAGAAGATACCCACCTCTTAGGGCTACCCCGAGGCTGAAATGAGACCATGTGAACAAACCACTTCCCAAAGCACCTGGTGTGCCGCCGCTGCCTCTGCTGAGATGCCTGAGCCCAGTTCCTTCTCCCTTCTCCAGTGTCATGAGGTCATTCAGAACTTACATTTACAATTTATAACGTGTACAAGTATAAATTCTCATCCGCTCCCTCCTGTGTGTGCTGTCAGTTCTTCTGGCAGACCAAGGAAATTGAGTCACGGTGATTTGGACAATCTAGGATCGGGATAATGGAGTCAGAACTCTCTGGAGAATTTGTCTCCTCTTCCAGGACCCCCTCTCTCCAGGCTCTGGAGGCACCTGGGTTCCTTTCTCCTGGTGCCCTCCATGCTGCAGGCCCCCTGGAATAGGGCCCCTGGGGGCTTTATGAAGAAGGGTGAGATTTAGCTATATGAAACAAAACTGAAAAATAACTGGCTTGTTTGAGAGAAGTTCTCAGATTAACAAAGATGAGAGGTTCCCAGCTGTAGCTGGGAAGTAGGGGAGGTGGGGGTGGCTGGCTTTTAGCTCTTTCTTGTGTGCCATTTGTTGCCCAGGCTGGAGTGCAGTGGTGTGATTGTAATTTGCTGCAGCCTCAAACTCCTGGGCTTAAGTGATCTCCCTCCCCCGCCTCCACCTTCAGAGTAGCTGAGACTTACAGGCACGCACTACCCGCCTGGCTAATTTTTAAAATTTGTTTAGAGATAGGGTCATGCTCTGTTGCCCAGGCTGGTCTCAAACTCCTGAGCTCAAGCAATCCTCCCACCTCAACCTCTAGAGTCACTGGACTATTAAGTGTGAGCCATCGCAGCTGGCCTATTTTTCAACACGTGGCCTTCACCTCACAGTCCAAGATGACTGTCTACCTCCTTGCCTTCTGAACAACTGTGCTGATCCTGTAGAATTGGCCTCTTTAAGGTGCCATGTGGTCCCTGTTCACTTGTTAGTGCCACTCTGGGCCCTTCCCACATCACTCCCTTGACCGCCTAATGCTGTTCTTTACTGGGCCTCAGTGAGCCCAAAGCCACTGGAAGAGCCTGGTGTAGAAAATACCCCGCAGCCAGGGGTGGGGGCCATGCAAATGGCACCCCCTGAAGGCGGACCCTGGATCTTGACCTTGATTTCCTTGGGCTTGTTCAGCCTTGAGTTTTCCTTCTGTAAAATGGGGATAATGATGGCAGCCCTTCCCTACCTCACAGGGACAGGGCGGGGACAGACAAGCTACTCTGTGTGCCAGGAGGGTGGCTTTGCGCTTTTGAGAAAAGGAGGGGCTGTTAATACTAAGAGCCTTTCTGGCCTCAACCACCCTCATCACCCCATCCCCTAAAGGTGGGGGTTTCTTCCAATAGTCCCCTTTGCTCTTCTCTTGCCACACCCAGTCCCTGCCTTCTTCCAACCATCTCTCCTTCCAGGACACTGCCACTGCCCACCCACCCACCATCCATGCCATCAAGGGGCCCAGCCAGGCAGCTCCAAAGCTAAGGAGAACGCTTAGGAGAACGCACCTGCCCCCTTAACTCCTCCCTCGCCCCTCACTCCCCACTCCACCCTCACTGTCCCCTCAGTCTTTGTCCCCTCAGCCTGAAACACTTTTCCTTGGGGGCCTGCAGGCTCAGTCCCTCATCTCCTTCAGGTCTGCTTCAGGTTGCCATCTCAGTAAGGCCTTCCCTGACAACCTTGTTAAATGTAACGCCCTCCCAACACTTGCCACTTCCAGTCCCCTTCCTTTATTTTTCTTCTAAGCACCCATCAGCAGCCAACATACTCCATGTTTTTGTTTATTTATCTTGCTTGAGGTTTGTTTTTCTACACTATAATGTAAACACCATAAAAGCAGGCAATTTGGTCTTTTGTTCATTGATGGGCTCCAGAAATAAATATATATATATGTATATTATCTGTTTTACAGATGGGGTCTCACTATGTTTCCCAGGCTGGTCTCAAACTCCTGGGCTCAAGTGATCCTCCTGTCTTCACTACCACCTTTGCCTGGGTAGTTGGGACTACAGGTATATGCCACCACCGCCATACCTGGCCCCATAAATATTTAATGAATTGTCAGGACTGCCACTCTTGAGTTGTCTCTAGGTTTTACTGATTAAAACCTAGAGGACTTGGCCAGGCGTGGTGGCTCACGTCTGGGTGGATAGCTCCAGGTCAGGAGTTTGAAACCAGACTGAGCAAGAGCGAGACCCCGTCTCTACTATAAATAGAAAGAAGTTAATTGGCCAACTAATATATATAGAAAAAATTAGCCGGGCATGGTGGCGCATGCCTGTAGTCCCAGCTACTCGGGAGGCTGAGGCAGCAGGATCACTTGAGCCCAGGAGTTTGAGGTTGCTGTGAGCTAGGCTGATGCCATGGCACTCGCTCTAGCCTGGGCAACAAAGCAAGACTCTGTCTCAAAAAAAAACTTGAGGACTCGAGGGCTAGGGCCATACTCTGTGCTTCAAACTCAAACCAAGCATCCACCCCATCCTAGGCTCAGAGAGATGAAGTAACTTTCTCGAGATCACACTGCTAGGAAGTGCCAGCATCAGATGTTGAACATGGGTCTCACTGGCTCCAAGTTTACTTACAGTAAGAGGAATAGGCAGAAAGCCCATTATCCTTGTTAAGCAGCTATGTTTAGCCAGTTCTGTGCTGGGTCAAACAGACCTCTTGATCGGAGGTCTGTTTCTTCCACTGGTCAGTAAGCTCCTCATCTAGAAGGAGTCATGTTTTATTCATGTTACCATCTCCCCAGTGCCCAGCACAGGCCTGGCATATACCAGGCACATGTGATTTCTAAGTGCATTAGCAAATGAAGATGCTCTGTAGTGGTCTGTGGAGTCAAGTAATCTTCCTGCCTCAGCCTCCCAAGTAGCTAGGACTATAGGTGTACACCACCACACCCAGCTAATATTTTAAAAGGTTTATAGAGACAGGGTCTTGCTATGTTGCCCAGGCTGGTCTTGAACTCTTGGACTCAAGTGATCCTCCTGCTTCATGCTCCCAAAGTGCTGGGATTACAGGCATGAGCCATTACACCTGACCTAAATTAGTTAACTTTTCGGCTCTTCAGTTGCTGTGAAATGGGAAACTTTGTAATTAATCCTTCAGGTTACTATGTCCTCATAAATGTAAAGGTTTCAGAATAGGAGCCAGCATATAGACAGTGCAGAATAAAGATTAGTTTAAGAAGGGGGAAACGGCATTTTGAGAGTGTGCTCCAAGTCAGTCAAAATGTGCAAATGGAAGTTGAAAACCACTGAGCAGGAATATTTTGTGGTCTCTGGGGCCTGACTGCAATAATAATCTTAGTGCTGTAATTTTAGTACTGCACATCCATTCAACATTTATTAGGTGCTTGGGACTGTTCTAATACAATCCTTACTTTTTACTTTGCACTATTTCATTTCCTCCTCACAGGTACTATTATACTATCCCCATTTTACAGATCCTAGCACTTTGGGAGGTCAAGGCAGGAGGATCTTTTTTTTTTTTTTTGAGACAGTCTTGCTTTGTTCCCAGGCTAGAGTGAGTGCCGTGGCGTCAGCCTAACTCACAGCAACCTCAAACTCCTGGGCTCAAGTGATCCTCCTGCCTCAACCTCCCGAGTAGCTGGGACTATAGGCATGCACCACCATGCCTGGCTAATTTTTTCTATATATATAATTAATTTTTTCAATTAATTTATTTCTATTTATAGTAGAGAAGGGGTTTCGCTCTTGCTCAGTCTGGTTTCGAACTCCTGACCTCGAGCAATCCGCCCACCTCGGCCTCCCAGAGTGCTAGGATTATAGGCATGAGCCACCGTGCCTGGCCCAGGAGGATCATCTGAGCCCAAGAGTTTAGGACTGCAGTGAGTTATGATTTGTGCCACTGCACTCCAGCCTGGGTGACAGAGAGGAACCCCAACTCTGGTCAAAGAGAGAGAAGGAAGGAAGGAAGAGGAAAAGCAAAGGAAAAAAAAGGAAAAGAAAAGGAAATAAAGAAGAAAAAGAAAGAGAAGGAAGAAGAAAGAAAGCAAAAGAAAGAAAGAAATAAAATAAAATGAGGCTCACACCTGTAGTCCTAACACTCTGGGAGGCTGAGGTGGGAGGATTGCCTGAACTCAGGAGTTCCAGACCAGCCTTAGCAAGAGCGAGACCTGGTCTCTACTAAAAATAGAAAGAAATTAGCCAGACAACTAAAAATAGAAAACATTAGCCGGGCATGGTGGCGCATGCCTGTAGTCCCAGCTACTTGGGAGGCTGAGGCAGGAGGATTGCTTGAGCCAGGAGTTTGAGGTTGCTGTGAGCTAGACTGACGCCACGGCACTCACTCTACCCTGGGCAATAAAGTGAGACTCTGTCTCAAAAAAAAAATAAAATAAAATAAAAAAGAAAAGAAAGAAAGAGAGAGAGAGAGAGAGAGAGAGAGAGAGAGAGAGAGAGGGGGGGGGGAGGGGGGGGGGGGGAGAGAAGAAAAAGAAAGAAAAGGAAGAAAATAAGGCACAGTGAGATTGTCGCGAGGACTGTGGCAAGAATGAACCAAGGAGAAAGAGATCAGGAGTCAGATCCGCCCATGCCAGCCCTCTCAAGAGCCCCCTGGGGATCCGGACTGGGAAGGGGACTGTACCCAGGCTAAACGTGCTGCGAGTCCCGCGCTCAGAGGCATCCGGGCGCCGCCCGCCTCCGCCCCGCCCCTTGTGTTCGGCTCGTCCAATCCCATAGTTTTCATGTAAATGAAGCACTTAGAGAGAGCCTATGCGAGAGCGGCAGGGGCGTGGTCTCCCGTCCACCTCCCGGGCAATGTTCTGATTCATTGTTATTAATAAAATAAAGAGGCCGTGACCCTGGCACTCCCACCCGGCAGCCCCCGTGCGTGGAAACCCGAGCCGAGGTCAGTCCTGGGCAGCGGGAAAGAGGGCATGGGTGGGGGAGGCCTAAGGCAGGGGCAGGGGTCGACAGTTACGGGGAGGAACTGGCTGACTGGCTGGATGGAGACAGGTCCAGGGGTCCATTCTCCGGGTGGGGCATGCGTATCTGCCTAAGGTTTTTCATTATTATACCCACATCTCAAGTCCATTTTAAAGAAGGATTCTGCCAAGTGGTTCAGGGTGGAGGAGGAAACGGGAGCACGAGCGAGGAGCACGTGAAGTAGAGTCCCCGACCTGCTCCCAGGGAAATAAGCAGCATTCCCTGTTGAAGGCGATGCTCCAAGATGGGTGGGACCGATGCGTTCCCCTCCACCAACCCCTTTCCTCCTGGGGAAGACTGGGGAGATGTCCACTCAGGGAAGATCGGAGACCTTGATGCCACCGAGGGGCCAGCCAGTGCGCGCCCCCCCCCCCACCAGTGCCCTTTCCCGGTTAGTTCTCCTCTCCAGATCTGATGGGGGAGGCGGAGCCTTGGCCCTGGCTGTCCCAGGGGAGGACCTGAAATTCCTCAGTTCTCTGCGGATATTGCCAGCAAAGGCCTGATCCCCTGGGATGCTTTGAAGGAAATACACCAGGTGAGGACAGGTATGGGCAGGTGACCTGGGGGCACCATAAAATGTGTGTGTTTTGGGACATTAGATTCCTCCCACCCCCCACCCTCCTCCTGGGGCTCTCTGTATGGGTGGAGAATGCATCTTTAAGTGACTCTCCTGACCCAGTTTCTGCTTCCAGGGCATGGGCATTGGAACCTCCCCGGGGGCACCCAGAAGGGAGAGCCCTGGGCACAAGTTAAGATGCCAGGGTTTCTTTGCAGCTAAGCTCTGCCACAAACTTGCTGTGTGACCTTAGGCTGTTCACCTTTGTGCAAGACTTTGTCCTCAGTCCTGAGAATACCTGGCCAGCCCTTTGCCTCACTACCTGTGCCCCTTACTTCCACCTCTGAGAAAGTGAAGACACAGACTTGGACTTGAATCCAGCTCAGACACTGTGACCTTGAATGAGTTAGGGAACTTCTCTGAGCCTGACCTGAAATCGTCATTAATTTGATCCAAAATGCAGAGTAGCTATATAGCAAGAGTGTTTAACCTTTGGGGTGCACTGGAATCATCTAGGGGACTTGTTTAAACTTCACACCCCCAGACCTTACCCCTTGGAAAGTCTGACTGGGTAGACTGGGAGAGGGAAGTGGGAATCTGCAGTGTTTTAAGAGACAGGTGTAGCTATGTTGTCCAGGCTGGAGTACGGTGGCCACTCACAGGTGTGATTATAGAGCACTATAGCCTCGAACTCCTGGGGTCAAGTGATCCTCCTGCCTCAGCCTCCCCGAGTAGCTGGGACTACACTGTGCCTGGCTGGAATCTTCATTTTTATGAGCAGCCCAGGAGGCTGTAAGGCAGGGTTCTTGGAGCACACTTTAAGCAACACTGCAGTAAGGACTAGAAATCACACATTGAATGCTTAGCAGAATACCTGGGTGTTTGGTAGGTGCTTGGTGAGTGTTTGCTGAGTGAATAAATGAACAGATGACTGGATGGAAAACCTTATTTCCTTGTTCCTTGTCTGGCCTGGGGAAGTGGGACTGGGGTCCAGGTGTGTGGCCAATCATCTGGTTCTTGCCTCCCCGCAGGACCCACCTAGAGGGTCAGCCTTTGGATTGCAGGAGCTGCATTGGCCTGACTCACCCGCTATGGAGGACGTGGCTGGGAATGTCCCATGTGAACGCTTTGAGGCCAATGTGCTTACCCAGAGCCGCTGTCAAAACTGCTTCCACCCTGAGGAGGCCCACGGAGCAAGGCACCAGGTGGGCCAGCTTTCCCAAGTGGTTGGAGTGGCTTGGGATGGGGAGTAGGTGATGGGCTGGGTCTGGCTGGGCCACTGACTTGCAGGTGATCCCAGATGCTGGCCTTCCTCCCGACTAGAGCCTCAGTTTTCCCATCTGTGCAATGCAGGGGTTGGACTAAGTGAATGTTTCCCAATCTTTAGTCACTTTCCTCCCGCTTTTACGATTTTTATCATAGCCTCATCTAGTCTACCCCTTACTTTATTGTTCTTTAAATCAACATCTTTTTCCCCTTCTACTGAAACAAAACTTTACACTACCAACACAATGAGAAAACTAGGATTATGTTCTGTATATAGAAAGTTTAAAAAAAGAGAGAGAAGAAAACACAAAACAGAAATGTCATTAAATTCTAACTGGAGTGTTATCTACAAGAGGCTTGAGCCCGAGTCCTGCTGTCTCTTTGTCAAAAAGGGAGATTAGCTAGAGTTAGAGAGGCATTAAAGATACAGCAGCACCGGCTGGAGACTTTCTTCTTGAAGTTATTGACGGAGTGAAAGAGGAGTCATAGTCTTACCTTGTGCTTGATGTGGCCTGTTGCTAAGCCCCTATTTACATAATGCAGAGCACCTGCTACACGTACTGTGAGAGGCAGGGAGCCCGTGAATCTTTGAGGGCCCTTCCAGCCTTCACCTCCTGTGGCTGCATCATTCTATTGGGGTCTAAAGCTCCTCCTGGACCAGCTTTGTGCAGGGTTATGCTCCAAGAGGTAGCCATTGTAAGGAGTTTCCCCGTTCAGCTTTGGGGCCAGGCAGGCCAGAGTTCCAATCCCAGGTTTGCCATTACCTGCTGTGCGATCTTGGATCATTTAAGTTCTCTGGCTTCACTCTCCTCTTGGGTAAAGTGGGGGCACCAGGCTTCTCACTCAGGCATCTGGCACTGCTTAGCCCAAGCCACCTGTGGCCAATTCAGTTCCTCTTTTTCTCCTTCCTGACCAGAAAAGTAAACCTTGGAGATTCCTTTTTATCTGTCCTGATACTTTCCATAACAGCTCCCCTATGCTCACCCCCAAGTTCAGGGAACAGATGCCTGAGAGTCCTGTGCATCCATCTCCCCTGCAAAGACCCTTCTCCCAGTGGATGGGAGGATAGCAAGCATGGAACAGGAGAACAACCTGCACTCAGACAGGTCTGGGTTCTAGTCTTAGTCCTGCCATTTCCCAGTTGGGAACTTGGGGCAGCTTACGTGTTCATACTTGTTAAATAGATGCTTAAAATGTGCCAGGCATTATGCTAGAGGTTGGGGAAATACCGATAAATCAGACAGACACAGCCCTGCCTTCACAAGGCTTGTATTCCAGGAAGAGAAATGGAGAATAAGAAAGTAGTCATGCTAATGCTTATGAAGTCATGGTTGTGATAAATGCCATAAAGGAACAGCAAGTAGCATTGGAATAAATTATAGGACATCAAGGAAGGTGTCTCCACAGAAATGACATTTCAGCTGCTTGGTAAATGCTGCATAGGCATTAGCATTAGTCAATGAAGAGGAGCCAACGTGCAAAGGCCCTGAGGCAGAAAGGAGGAGGTGCATTGGAGGAGAGGTCAGGGAGAGGCAGGGGCAGAGGAGCTACGGACTGGATGGAGAATGGGCAGGGCCTGGGCCTCACCGGCCTTGTGTGGCTTCGTGGACGTGCTGAGGATTGGGGTTCTATTCTGAGAGCCATGGGAGCCTCTGAAGATTTTAAACATGGGAGGACATGATCTGATTTGCATTGTTTAAAGTCACTCTGATTGCTGGGCAGAGCATGGCGGCGAAAGTGAATCAGGGTGACCCGCCAGGAAAAAGTGCAAGTACTCATTCGTGCCAGAGATGACAAGGGCTTTGAGATGGAGACACATGGACACATTTCAGAAGTAATTGAGTCAGAGAATCTGTGGATTTGGGGGTGTGGGAGGGGAGAAACCATGACTGACTCTCATTTCTCCAGCAGGGTATGGGTCCCACTGGAGTTGTTTGGCACCTGGCGTGGGGTACCCACAGGACACACGGAGACGAGGGGAGGTTAGAGAACACAGGGGGCAGAGCTCGGGGGCTTGGGGGGCTGAAGATGGAGGCTTGCAAGTCGCCAGGATCTGGCACCGACCAGGGTCTTGCTCCCGGAGGAGGATGTGGAGTGAGACAAGAAGAGGCCTGGGTGGAGGCCGGGGATCAGCATTTAAACACAGGTATAGGAGGCAGAGACAGTAAGGGGACGGAGAAGGACTAGCCAGAGGGTTGGAGGCAAACCCCAGCGTGTTCCCCACTTCCCAGAGGCCAAGGCCAGGGACGGTTTCAAGATCAGAGAGGGACACTGGTGTCAAATCTTTCACTTTCTTGAATTTGCAGTTGCTCTGATGCTGACCCGAGGTTGTGAAACTCCTCCGAGTTCTGCAGATGCATGAGGAGGGACTGTCATGACCCTGAGCCAGGCCCTGGGACCCAACTCTGGGCAGGAGACAATTCCCTGTGTAGCACATGTGATAGTAAACAATTGGCCCTCAGCCCCAGATGACGGCAACTGCCTCTCTGGACCCTTCCGTCTGCCTCCCTGTCCACCACTGCCACCACTCTGGACCCCATTCTGTGGCGCTGCGTGGTCGGGTGCTGAAGGAGCAGGTGGATTCTTCCCGCTGCCTGGTGCTGCTGCCAAGGTGGGGGGCCTCCCACTCTCCCCACCTCTCTTCACAGCAGGCCTCCAGGGAACCGCATGTAGCCAGTTTTTCCTCCAGGGATTCTGGAACTTTGGCCCTATGTGCCCCTAAGCTTTAGGCCAAGAGATTTCAAACACGTGAAGTCAAAAAATCTGTATGCTGAGAACGCGTGCCCAGCCTTGTTGGGCCGTGCGGTTCCCAGCTGGTCCCTAGTTACACCGGTGGCGGCATCTCTTGGGCCTGATAAGGGCGTCTCCCAGAGCTCAGGGAAGAAATGGGCTTGGATCCAGTGGTGCTGCTTCAGGTAGAAATGCCCCCGGGTCCCCAGGTGTCCCTGCCTGCCAGGCAAGATCAACTCTTGACTAACTGATCACGCAAATGCCTGGGAGCCCCAGCTTCCCTCAGCCTCTGGGCTCTGGTGCCCGTCCCTGCTCCAGTCCCGGGCAAGCCTCCGCCTGCTGGGGGAAGGGGCCAACCGCGGGGCTCACACAGCCCCACCAGAGGCAGGAGGGGCTCCGAGGGAGTGTCCTGCCGTGTGCCGGGCACCACAGCCCCTTTTCAACCTATTTTTGATTGTGTTTAACGTATTTTGCAGATTTAACATTATAAAATTCTATTTTATGTTTTTTCATTATATGTTATATTATATTATATTTAAGATATGCAGACTCTGTTGAAAGCCCTCTTCAAATGCTAACTCATGTAATTCTCAGAACACCGAGCGGAGGTGGGTCCCGTCGATGTGCCAGTTTCTCGCGGGTGACATAACTGAGGCTCACAGAGGAGTCACTCCGCCAAGGTCTTGGTCGCAATTCCTCCTCCATTTCAGAGAGGAGAAAACTAGGCTCAGAAAGGGGAAGCCACCAGTCCGAGGTCACCCTGGGGAAGTGGAGGAGCCAGCATGGGGCCCGAGGTCTGTCCGAAGCCAGAGCCTGTGCTGACCTGCCAGACGGGACACAGAGCTGGGGGCCAGCGGCTGGGCCTGCTCATGCGTGCAGTGGGTAGTGATGGGGGCTGGGGCGAAGGCAAGGACAAGATGCCACGTCAGGCTGGGGGTCCTGCTGGGCCTGGCCGGTCAGGGACCCCTTGGTGATGCCTGGCGGGTCACTCCCTCCTGATTCATGCTGTGCCATCCCCTGGGTGGCCAAGGCGCCAGGCCCGGCTGTGGATCTGACACCTCCTGCTGCCGAGCTCTGATCAGAATCTGGCCGCAGAGCAGGGGGCGAAACTGAACCCAGATGGGCTCCTCTGGCCTGGATGTCACGGCAGACACTCAGGCCCCACTCCTGGCACTGTCCGGCCCCCAGTGGTGGCCTTCTTGGAACCTGGAGAGCCTGTGCCCACCCTGGGGTGCTGTTCATGCTGCGGCCTCAGCCCTGAGTTCAGGGCTCCGGGTCCCCAGGGAGCCCATGCCCAGGCTCCTGCCGCCCCAGCTCTCAGGTGAGCGGCTGGGATCAGGTTCCTGCGGTTTCATGTCCTGCATTGTTCTTGGCCGGGCCGGCTTATGAAACTGTAATGAGGGGCCCCTGTTCCCGAAGCCGGCCCCTCTAAGGTTTCCGCTGCCTCTGCTGCCGCCGCCACCACGGCCCGGCCTGGAGTCGGGGCCTGGGAGGGTGGCAGTGTGGGGGCCTGAGCCGGAGCCCCCCGGGGACGAGGGTGCTGACAGCCGACAGCCGCCACGACTGCCGGAGCCCGCCGCCCAGGTAACCCGAGAGGAGGCGGGGCGCAGGGTGCCATGCCGCTGTCTCCCACCACCAGGGGAGGGCCCTGCCATTCCTGGGAGGTGGGGAGAGATGGGGGGGCTCTCCTGGAGGGAGCAGCCGTTCCCCCTGGGCGAGCCCAGCACCAGCCTTCGCAGGTGTGGCCTTGCCTTGGACGGGAGGGAGAGAGTAGTAGACGGCCAGCTCCAGGCCCCCGCCCCTACCCTGGGGCCATGAGCCTCCAGCCCTGGGCCCCCCCCCCCGGGCCCCCCCCCCCCCCCGGCCTGTTTCTTAGTGGCACAAACCTCTTCTTCCCTCCAAGGTCTTGATTTCCCGTCTCCTCCTCTGTTAGACTACCTCTTCCCCCAAGACCTCTCCCTGCTCTCAGGCCATATTGATCCTCCCCCCTCAGCCCCATCTTCTGCTACAAAAGACCCTTTGGGTCCTTCCACGTGCTTCCCATTCCCAAGCACAAAGTCGTACACACACATAAGTGACTTGCATGCACTATGCAAACATATGCATGGGTGCACCCACTGGGCTTGCATACACACGCATGCACATATGCACACATGTTCTCAATACCGTGTGCACACATGTGCCCCAGACACACAGGCCTTCGTGCACACACATACCTGTACTGAGGCCCATATGTGTGCACACATGCCCGTGCATGCACACACACCAGGTACCTCTGCCAGCCCCCAGCCTAGATCCCAAGGGACACTTGCAGCCTGATGGGCAGCTCTCCTTGAGGAGTGTGAGATCCAGGAGGAGATGCCTGAGACTCCCACACCGCCTGGGGCCGGGAGGGGCTGTGCAGGGGGAGGGGAGCCCCCACGTGGGTGCTGAGCTGCTTCCTCTCTCCAACTCTGGCCCAGGAGCTCAGGAGCCCTTCCAGTGCTGAAGTGCCCTACTGCGACCTGCCCCGATGCCCGCCTGCTCCTGAGGACCCGCTCAGCACCTCAATCTCCGGCTGCCAGTCTGTGGGGGACCTGGGCCTCAGGCCGGGGCCCAAGAGGTGGGTAGAGCCCCAGGGCCCAGGGAAGGGCTCCCTGGGGTGGAACACCCTCACTCTCCCCCCGCATACCCCCCTTCCCGTCTGTGTGTGATGGCTGCTGGCACGAGTCACGCGGTCAGTTCGTGCAGCCTGGGCATGGGCAACAGTAGGCATGCTTCTCAGGCCACCGGGAGAACTAAGTCAGACTGTCCCTGTTTGCAACTGGGGCGCTAAGCCTGCCCTCCCTGACCCTGGCTCTCTGTCCCAGTGGCCCTGCCCACTCCGTAATTCCTCAAGTCCTAGCTCAGCTTTGCTCCAGGGCATGTGGCAGCTGTGCACCCACCCTGCAGTGAGCATGGCCCACAGCCTGCTCACATTTCCTCGTTCCCTTTGCACAGGTTTATTTTTTATTTATTTATTTTTTTGAGACAGAGTCTTGCTTTGTTGCCCAGGCTAGAGTGAGTGCCGTGGCGTCAGCCTATCCCACAGCAACCTCAAACTCCTGGGCCCAAGGGATCCTCCTGCCTCAGCCTCCCGTAGCTGGGACTACAGGCATGCACCACCATGCCTGGCTAATTTTTTTGCTAGATATGTTAGTTGGCCAATTAATTTCTTTCTATTTATAGTAGAGATGGGGGTCTCGCTCTTGCTCAGGCTAGTCTCGAACTCCTGACCTCGAGCAATCCACCCGCTTCGGCCTCCCAGAGTGCTAGGATTACAGGTGTGAGCCACCATTCCGGGCCTACCTTTGCACAGCTTTAAAAGATTAAACAGTCCCTGCACCCAGGGTCCCCTGCTGTCACCCACCCACCTGGGTATGCACTGCTTCAGGCTCTAAGACTCCTTCTGCCCCCAGGTGTGAACTAAAGCTCCCCTTTAGTATCATGGTACCTTGGGAGGCTATGACCTAAGAGTCTAGAAACCTGGGTCCTAGCTTCAGATTCATCTCTGATGGACTGCAGGACCTTGGGCAACTTATTCTGTCTTTTTGTGCCTAAGTTTCCCTATTTGTAAAATAAGAGGG